ATGAAAGGGACACATCGAGTGGTTGCCGCCTGCATGACCCAACCAGGGCCGGGGACAAACTGCAACTGAGGTACGTGCCCTTAGCCGGAACTGAACCCAGGTCTCTCTGGACCACAGGCCAACGCTCTAACCATTGAGCAAAACTGGCCATGGCTCTTTTTCTTTTTTGAATCTTTCTTTTTTCCCCTCTCTGTCTTTCCCTATGAGTGGCCCCAATTGTAAGAACTGTGTATCAGCATGGATATCTAGGAATTTGAGAGGACTCCCATGGGCTGGAGAGTGTGAGAGAAATCCTGGAAGGGAGAGACTTGGAGAAGATGGTCCTCATATTCTGTGATAAGTCAGCATGCCAGCCTTACCACTAAGTCGCACATGTGTGATTGAGCTGTTTTACTCACATTTCTGACACCAAATATGTGGGCTTTTTTCACACACCAACCAATTTTCTAACTGTGGACATCAACTGGGTATTCTACAATTCAATTCAATTCTAACACTGGCTGTGAAGTTAGCATCAGACTCCACAGATTTAAGGGTTCAGTCTCACCAGACTGCCCTCACTTCAGATGCCAGTCACAAGTATTGACTTTTCAGGTTATTCACACTTCTGTCTGACTTAGCTACAAATCATGGGTTTCCACAACCTTCCTCCCTCAGGTGCAATAATTTGTTCCAACAGCTTACAGAACTAAGGAAAACAGTTTACTTACTATTTCTAAGTTTATTATAAAGGGTACAACTTAAGAACGGCCAAATGGGAGAGATGCATAGGTCAAGGGGGGAGAGAGGGAGAGAGAGAGAGAGAGAGAGAGAGAGAGCAAGCGCGCGCGCGCGCGCGCGCGAGCGCACGCACTCTACGCTCTTTCCAGGCCTACTAACTCCCCATTAACCTGGTGTGTTCTCCAAGCCACAAGTGCCCTGAACCCTGTAGTTTAGGGGTTTTTATGGAAGTTTAATTATGTAGGCATTATTAATTAAATCACTGGCCATTGGTAGCCACCCTCCCCTCTCCCCTTCCTGGAGGTTGGGGGATGGAGTGAAAGTTCTAAGTGTCCAAACAAGGTCTGGTCTTTCTAGTGACCAGCTCCTATCGTGAAACTATCTAGGAGCCTCTCAGGCAACAGTCATGTCTTAGCATGCCAAAGGAACGTTTCTATAGGAGTTTGCAAAGGTTTTAGGAGTCCTGTGCCAGGACCCAGGGACAAAGACCAAATATATATTTTTTATTTTACCACAGTGGGAGACACAAAGTTACATAGCCGAGTCTTTGAGACTGGAACTACAAATCTCAAAACTCAGACTAACTTTTAAATGGAACATGAGAAAAATATAAAATTTTTTGTATTAGCAAATTAATTAATCAATTAATAAAAACAACAACTCTGAATTAACATTGGGACCATCACCTATAGAAAGATAGATGCAATTTGTGTTTTGAGCCCAAATAGATTGATTGCATGCTACCTAGTTAGCTAAACTGTGAACTTTGAGGGTAAAGTTCTCCAGACTGCCAAAGTTTCTGACACAAATTGCAAATTCAGAGGGGTTCTCAAAACCACGTTCAGGTTTAATCATTCACTAGAAGGATGAACAGAATTCAGTGAAAGCTACTATACTTACAGTTTTGTATAAGATTTGAAAATTAATATCATTCATCATATCTACTTAGTAAAGAAGAAAAACCATGTGAACATTTCAACAGATGCAGAAGAGGCATTTGAAAATTTGTTTAAACAGATAATTCTCTGAGAATGACCTATTTGGGGAATAAAGAGAAGTTTGTATAGCTTCTGTGTCCACAAAGGTAGTGCCTGGAGATTGTTTAGGCCCTGAATACACTGCACAGGAAGTTGGTCTCTAACTTGTAGGAAAATATTGGGTCTGATTTCAGTACTGCTTTAGCATTGGGACTTTTCTAGAACATATGTATATATAAAGAAAAACGAATGCTTTTGAATATATCTTCTAAAGTGAAGTTCCTATTACACAACAGTTCAAAAATATCCTCAACCTTTTAAAGTTGTTCACAATTCAGCTGCACACAGATCTGTATGGAATTTTATTTATATATACATATGTTACGGATAGACTGAATGGCTTGAATAAGAGGTTTGGTTGAATGCCCACTGGGAAAAATAGATCTTAAGTTTTATAAGAAATGAGTTGTATAGTTAGGACTTCCAGTTGTTTAATTTGAGAGGTTTGTCAAGCAAATCAATTTTATACCTTCTTTCTCACATATTGGTTTGTATCTCACAGCACCAAGAATTTTCATCTACCTTTCTATTCCTCTGTATTCATTTCTTAGAACTTTGTCTTTCATTTCTCTCATCTCTTTTTCATTCTTTGAGCTTTCACAGTTGCCTTTTATCCAAATCCCTGGTATTTTCCAATTATTTATTTTTATAGGATATCTTTTTTAATATCGAGTCTTTCATTGGTGATCACTTTATAAATCACCATGATTTAATATTTTTCCTGTTAGCTATTGCCTACACATGTTTTACTAAGCTTCTCAGGGCAGAAAATTTGTCTTCCATATTTTATGCTTTGTAAAACATCACATACTCTTATGACTTCTATTAACAATAAATCTTAGTTAGACTTAGGTAAAGCTACATCTTTCTTATTTTATTTGTAAGCTGTACATGCATACAAGAGAAGATTCAAGTTTCACCAGCTACCTGTTGTGTGTACCATTACATTTTAGGTAGCATTAGAATGCCACCTTTTGGAATTATTGGGTACCAAGCCAAGTATTTATGTTAACCTGCTTAAATTATATATATTCCAAGAACAAGCAAAGTTGTTGTTTTTTCACTGTAAGAAAGAAATGTTCCTCTCTTTTTCAATAACTAGATTGAGTTCAGATGGATTTGTGTACATGTCAGAATATCTTATGTTCTAAATTTAAATCATGCCTTTCAGATACAAATGGTCTCTGGCATTATGCATTATTTATGACAATAGGAATCTTTAATATTAGACTTGATAAATGTCAATATCAAAATACATTGATATTTTTAATTATTTCACAGAAGTCTAGACTTAATTTCCTACTTTTTAAAAATTGGAACATGGCAACCAAATTTAGCATACATTTGCATCAGGAAAGTGTGATGGTTGAGTTTATACTGAAGTGACCAAGCAGAGGTTGAGGAGCCACACTACTCATTCTGTTGCACTCTGAGCTCTTGACTTTGGTGCTGTTCTTTCCGACTTATCCCTCTTCTCTCAAGTATCTCTATCTTGTCTACCCAAACCACCTTCAGGAAGTATCTGAGAGTAGTTTTAAGTGCCACCTCCCTTAAATAAATGTCCATTTTATTTAATCCTCATCTGAGGATATGTTTTTATTGATTTTTAGAGAGGGGGGAAACATTGATGTGAGAGAGAAACATCAATTGGTTGCCTCCCATATGTGCCCCAGTGGAGATGAACTCACAATCTAGGTATGTGCCCAGGCAGGGAATCAAACCTGCAACCTTTTGGTGTATGGGGCAAAACTTCAATCAACAAGCCACCCGGCCAGGGCAATATACAGTATGTGCATTTTTAGTCTGGATTCTAAAAGGTGAAACAATCATAGCCACAGGATTTGAGTAGAGCAAACTTTCTGGTGTCATTTTACTTAAAGACTTACCTGATGAGCCACCAAACATTTTTTTGCTTAATGAGAAAGGTGTGTATTAACTTTCTTTTCCTGCCATAACACACTAGCACAACTTTAGCATTGTAAAACAGCACTCATTTATTATCTCACAGTTCTGTGGATCAGAAATCCAGGCAACTGTGGCTCAGCTGGTTCTCTGTTATGGATTTCACAAGGCTGAAATCAAGGGATCAGCAGGCTATGTATCTATGAGAATCTGTTCCTAGCTTAATTTGGGCTGTTGACAGAATTCAGTTCCATACAGTTATATGACTGAGTTTTCCATTTCCTTGCTAGCTATCAGCCAGGAGGCATTCTCAGCTTCAAGAGCCTGCTTACATTCCTTGGCTTATGGTCCTTTCCTTTCATTTTCAAAGTCAGCTACAATGGGCCAAGTCTTCCTTATACTTTGAATGTCTCTGTGATCTCCTCTTCTGCTTCATTTCTCTTCAGCTTCCCTCTTCTGCCATATCTGACTCCAGCTACAGAATTTCTCTTTGCAAGGGACTCGAGTGGTTAGATTGGGCTCACCTAGATTATTTAAGATAATCTATAACTTTAATTATATCTATAACTGTCTTTCACAGTAGTACCTAGACCAGTGTTTTATTTACTAACTAGGGGATAGGAATCTTGGAGGAACATCTTTAGGATTCTGCTTACTATAAAGTATGAGACCTACATGATAAAAATAATACAATTTTTTGGCCCTGGCCGGTTTGGCTCAGTGGTTGGAGCATCAGCCTGCGGACCAGAGAGTCCTGGGTTTAGTTCCCACTGGGTCCTAGCAGCTAGGGACATGTACTTAAAAATAATAATAATAATAAAATAATAATACAATTTCTTGAAGAACATATGAGGATAAATGTAGAGGCATACCATATTACAGAAAGGGAAGGCTCATATAGAAGAATATTATTTACCCTGAAATTAATATACACAATTAAAGAAATACTAATGAAAATACAAAAATTTTTTTGGGGGGGAGAGTTCTTGACAATTTCATTTCAAAGACAAGAGGAATAAATGGGTAAAAATAATGACATTAGAGAGAAAAAAAGAAAGTATATTCTCCAACTAATTTTATGAGGCTAGCTAGTATAACTGATGCCAACCCAAAGACGGACATTACATGAAATAAAATTACAGGTCAATCTCATTCATGAGAGTTCCCCACCTTCCAGGTCTTAAAAATATCAGCATATTGAATCTAGCAACATATAAAACATAAAATAGACAAATGAAACAGCATAGCAAGATCAGAGACAAATCCACATATATACAACTACGTGATTTATTACCAAGATAGCACTGTACGGTAGAGGGGAGAGGACTACCTGTCAACAAATGGTGCTGGTTTAAATTTCCACATTGGATGGAGGTGGAGGGAGTGTGAGGACTACAGATGTCTCACTTTCTTCATACATAAAAAAGTTAATTTCAGGTCTTCTTAGAACTAAATTTGAAAAGCAAAACAACAAAATTTTAGAAGACAATATGCCCTCAGGGTAGGAAAAGATCTCTTAAATAGGATACAGACATCACTAATCATTAAAGAAAAGAGTGATAAATGTGACTCCATTAAACATTTCTTTTCATCAAAAGACACTGTTAAGAGAGTGAAAAGGCAAGCCACAGAGTGGGGAAAATATCTGTAGCACACTATATAATCAGTTACTACAAATAGATAAGAAAAAGACAAACAACTCAATATAAAAATGGCAAAACACCTGAACAATGAGTCAATGCACATATAAAAAGATTCTATTCTTCATTAATAATCAGAGAAATCCAAAATAGTTTCAGAATAAGTTGGCAGTATATATCCATTAGATAGACAAAAATTAAAATGTTGGATAATTCAAGTATTGGTGAGGATTTGGAGCAACAGGAACTTTTATATGTTAATGTTGGTTATATAAATTGGTACAATCATTCTGAATAATTCTTGCATGGTCTTGTAGAGATGAAAATAAACATGCCCTATGACCCAAGAATTTCATTCCAAGCTAAAAATTCTATAGAAATCTGTGTTTATGTGCTCCAGGACACACACACACAGACACACCAGCATTGTTTATAATAGCCCACAGCTTGATATAGTCTATTTATTTTTTTATTTTTTTATCCTCACCCGAGGACATTTTTCCATTTTTTGTTCAGATAGAGTGGGAGGGAGAGAGAGGAAGAGAGAGAGAAACATCGATGTGAAGGGACACATCGAGCGGCTGCCACCCACACAACCAACCAGGGCCGGGGACAAACTGCAACCGAGGTACGTGCCCTTAGCGGGAACCGAACCCGGGTCTCTCGGGACCGCAGGCCGACGCTCTAACCGCTGAGCCAAACCGGCCAGGGCAGCTTGATATAGTCTATATGTCCAACAGTAGTAGAGTAAATTATGGTGTATCTGTACAATATAGTAATCTAAGTAATGAAGATGAATAAACTACAGCCACATCCCATGGCTGAATCTTAAAGACATAACACTGATAAAAAAAATTTAAGGTGTAGCCCTGGCCGATTTGGCTCAGTGGTTAGAGCGTCGGCCTGCATACCAGAGACCTGGGTTCAGTTCCCGCTAAGGGCATGTACCTCGGTTGTGGTTTGTCCCCGGCCCTGGTTGGGTCGTGCGAGTGGCAACCACTCGATGTGTCCCTTTCACGTCGATGTTTTTTTCTCTCTCTCTGTCTGTCTGTCTGTCTTCCTCTCTCTCCCTCTCAATCTGAACAAAAAATAAAAAAAATGTCCTCAGGTGAGGATTAAAAAAAACAAGATGTGTAAAAAACTTACTCTATAATTCCATTTATGTAGAGTTCAAAAACAAGCATAAACCATATTGTTTAAAAATGATCAATTATGCAATAAAACTACAAAGAAAGTGAATAATTTGATAATCATGATAGTGGTTATCTCTGGGTACTTGGGGGTTATAAGGGAAGGGATACACTGGGGCCTTTTGGAGTATTGGTAATGTTCTACTTTTTGACCCAGTGGAGTTACCTGAGTGTTTAAGTTATAGTCTTTAAGTAGTACACTCCTGTTTTATGAATATTTGTGTGTTTGCTACATTTACAATCACAAAAAATAATTCTAATCTTTCCCCCCATTATTCCTGATTTGTTTTCAAATTAGAAACATCTATAGTGCCTCATAGAGACTTAGAGTTGTTATAGTAAGACACAAAGAGAACAAACAGTTCAGCCTTTAAAAACAAAAACACTCCCAAGCTAGGTTCTCAAGAATAAAAAAATTTAAAGAAAGCTTTGCTGAGAGTGAAACATAGCATCTGACATATTTCCCTCCCAGCCCAGGACAAATTAGCTAAAAAAATACTTTACTAGAAGGAGTATATATGGAGCATAACACTGAAGAAAATTGGGAGGCAAGAGAGAGAAGGATGAGGTATGATGGGAGTAGTGGAAAAACAGCATCAGAGTGGGTTGTGCGCCATTTCAGTGGACTGGAAAGGAGGCTTGGGCTAGAAACCAGGAAAGCTATTATCAGAGAAGCTTTTGAGGGCTGCATACTGCCTATATACACATTATCCAGCAAAGGACACCAGCTTTCCTCTGAACTTGCGGGTAGTGTGCCTATGACACCTCGGTCAAAGATGGAAGGTGAAGTCATGGACTGCCTGGTACTGTACAATCTTCTTCTCCCCACTCCTCCCATCCATTATACCCCTAGAAATTTTAGTCTGCAGTGCCTAAGAATCTATATTTTAGTAAGCATTATGAGTAACTCTCATGCAGGTGGTTTCTGGTACTAGAGTACCATGGCCCAGGGAAACTCCCATCAGCGGCACTTGTTAAAAGTCCGAATTTATGGGCCCCATACCAGACATGTAGAATCAGAATTTCCAAAGAAGGGGTCTGAGAACTTTTTTTAAAAACAAAGACCTCAGGTGATTCACAGGGAAGTCTGCCTCAGAGACTTCTATTTTTTATTTTCCGTTTTTCCACAATGTACTTGAAACATCTGTTTATAATTGCATTTTGAAAAAATAAGTACTGTGGAAAGGAACAAACTACAAACTGTAAAATATTTTTTTTCTCCAGTCCAGATTTCTCCTCAGTGCTGAAGATCCATAATCCGTTTACATGACATCTCTCCTTAGTCATAAAAACATCTTAAACTCAACATGTTCAAATTGAAATTACCACCTTCCCCCAAACCCAATTCTATTTTAGTGTCCCCACATCTCAGTGATAGCATTACTATCCATTCACTGTGCTTGACAGAAATCCTGTCATTTTTGACTCTTCCCTCTCCTTCAACCCCCATTCAGCCACACCAAATCTAAATCCATCACCAAGAACTAACATTTTACTTCCTAAAATGTTTAATTTTCCCCACTTGTCTTTGTCTCCTTGTTTCCACCCCAATCCACTTGAACCATTACCAACACTAATCACCACTATAAATCCTAATTGGTCCAATGCTGACCCTGTTCAGTCTCACACTGCAGCTAGAATGATCTTTTCAAAACACAGATCTGATCAGATCAAATCCCCTCCCCGCTTTGTTTTATTTAGAATTTTTTTTTATTTTAGAGAGAGAGGAAGGGAGAGGGAGAAAGATAGAAACATCAGCCATCTCTTGCATGCCCTCTACTGGGGATTGGGCCCACAACCTGGGCATGTGCCCTGACCAGGAATTAAATTGGTGACCTCTTGGTGCATGCATGGGTCAATGCTCAACCACTGAGCCACACCAGCCAGGCATGTTTTCAAGTTCTCAGTATGGCTAGTGAGGTCCTGCTTAGTCTGGTTTTGGTGCTTCACACTGTAGCACCCTCTCTCTGCAATCTATGCCCCAAACACAATGGCCTACTTTCAATTCATCAGGCTTGTAATATTCCTTCCTGACAAAACACCTTTACATAAGATGTTTTCTGTTTTCTTTTCTCTGTTCTTCAGCTTTTCATCCTTCAGATCTCCATTTCAGAGTGATTTCCTCAGAGGCCTTTCCTAAACTTTCTGACCAGATCAATGAATGACCCCACTGTAAGTCCTCATGGCACCTATCTCTTGCTACTTTCATTTATTTTTCTATGTGACTCACTTATTAGGCTTTTAGACTTCCTTTGGCTAGAGTAGTTTGTTTCCCTTATCTTTCCTGATGCTCTTATAATTTCACTTTCTGAGGATACATCCCAATTATAGGATTAGTAGGGAATAACTCTTTAATATTTGGACTCAGCAAAAGCACCAATTTCACTGGCTGTCTCACATTACTTCTGTCTTATCATTTTCCAATCTCTTGAACATTTGTCTCTATCACAGTACTCATCCACTCTATATTGTATTTTTTATTTTCTTAAAGTTTTCTCTTATTAGTGTCAGTTGCTTTAGGGCAGCTGTTTTATTTATCTCTGCATCCTCAGCACTTAACACGAGTTCTTATCCTCAATAAACACAGGGTAGCATCAACAATGTATACAAGGTGTCTAGATTCTATTACATTTTGAAAATGAAATATATTTTAATAAATACTGGCTTTATAATTACACTTTTTTGTACACATTTTTTTTTGGGTGACAACCTATATTTAGAAGGACCCCTGTGGCTTGCAGTCCAGCCATGTAGTGCATATGTTGATTTCTCAGCTTGTAATATCTTCCCTCACTATGCCTAACAAACTCTTACCACTTGATATAAAGGAGGCAGTGGGTACAGTGTTACCTTCAACAATATACATTATCCTTCTACTTTTCAGTTTCCTCATTTGAAAAATGATACTTAAAAGTTTGTTGGCAGGATTAAAAGAATTAATGATTCAGTACTTTTCTCCCTCCCCTTGCCAGGCCAAATCTCTGCTCTTCTAGAGCAATTATCTAGAGAATTTTGTTGCTGGATTTGGTTTTTGGAATCTCTCACATCCAGCTAGCTCTTCTGCCTCCCATTTCCTGTTTTGTTTCCCTTTTAAACAGACCTTGATGGCTCAATTAAAACTAAAGAACAAATCTTTAGCAAGTGGAAAACATTTCTTTCCTAGTCTTATAGGAAAAGAGATCTTCTGAAGGTGAGATGTAGTATTTGCATGACTGCACAGGCCTTAAAAAAAAAAAAAAGTTGAAATAGCAAAGGTTGAAAAAGAAAATGCTTAAATTCCTGTATCAAAATAGGTGAAATGTTTTCTTCTAGATTTGTAAAGTGCCTGACCCAGGGTACACAACAAGTAAACTTTAGTTCCCTTTCTTTCATTTTGTAACTAAAGACTCTAGCTGCTAGGACAAGCGACTTCACGGTGAATTATCTGGTAGCTTCCCGGATAAATTATTCTTACCATGTAGATACCACGTTCCGTTTCTTTTCTTACTTCGTTTGCATATTAAAACAATTACACTCTTTAAAAATCATAGAAACTTTTTTATTTTAGAATGTGTATGTAACAAATGGAAAAATCCCATGAAACTGCACACAGGGTTAAAAACATGTCACAGGGGTAACACTGGACAAAAGCTTTTGCTGACGTTTCTCGACCCTTCTCCACATTACCTTTGTGGTTCAAGTATCTTGTTATTCAGGATTGTCATTCCCAGTGGACCAGGGAATTTAATACTCTTTGGGCAATGTTTTAAATCGGAGGCAAATGCAGGGTAGGTGGTTTATTTGTGGGCCCACGTATCAGGACGTTGGAAGTGAGTGTTTCTGAGGTAGGGGCTTTAGGAAAGAAAACTCGGCTGATGTTGCTATGCACAGTTTGAAATCAACCTCCTTTGGCATTTGAAGCTTACCACACACAGGTGATCAAATGACTCTCTTTGAGTGTTGAGGGCCTCAAGCACTCCTGGAGGCTAGGCTGAATTTTCTCCGCTGGCTTCTTTGGGAACCGGTCTCTTCTGTGAGCGCAGAAATAACGTGCTCTGCTGCCCGCTGGTGACAGCCGATGGGGGGGGGGGGGGGCTCCCCAGGGAGGATTACCTTGCATACGCACCCACCTCCACCTTCAACTCCACTTCTCTCGAGGTGGTCTAGGGCCAATTTCGGGAATTTTCTTTCTCCCATGAGATCTGCGGAACAGGTTTTAAAAGAAAAGGAGGAGGCAGAGGAAGAATGAACTATTAATAAGAGTCAAAATAAATAGCATCACACCTCCAAGAAGCGACGATGAGCCCCGGGTCTGGCCGTGAAGTCACAGGGGCAAGCGTCCTCGGGCCAACCGCTCGGCTCGCCCACCCCAACTGCCCGCTCGGTCACAGTCACGTGACGGAGCGGCGCGCGCGGGCCGCGGCGTCGATTGGCCGGCGGCGGGAGCGCGGGGTTTGATGGGAAGGAGCTGGCAGGCCGGTCTCTCTGTCAGTGGCGGCTGCTGCTTGCTCCGGAGGGAGGCTGCGCGGTGGCTCCCGAAGCTGGCAGAGGTGGACGTCGGCACCGGGCTTTGCCCGCTTCTTGAAGGTAGAGCGTTTAAAATGAGGGCAGTTGGAAGGGGTCTGCTGGGGGAAGGCGCGCTGAGCTTTTTCCTGGGAAATACGCTCCCGGTTCTCCCGCTCGCCTCTCCCAGCAGCCCCCGCCCCTTGCCGGGTGGCCTAAGAGATCTGCGGTGGCGCCTGGTCAGACTCACTGCCTGCTGCGCGCTGACCGGGTCTCGCCGCCCGGTCCCTTTGATTTCCCTGTACAATGGGAAGGAAGGCTCTGGAGCGCGGGGGACCCCTGGCTTCCCCCCAAGGGGAGGTGGTTCCCAGCCCTGTCCCCGGCGGGGTGGTGTGGTGTGGTGGTGGTGGTGGTGGTGACTGGGGTGAGCTGAGCATCGGCTCTTTGGCCCACCTACGTGGAGGCGAAGGGTCAGAAGATCCTACGCCACGCCACGGTTTTCATGTTCTGCCCAGGGTTTTCTGAGTTGTGCGGAGGCGCCGCGAGTTGGAAAGATCGGGAGGGACCGAAAACTGTCAGTGTCATGCGGCTCGGCCCAGGCGTGTGGGCGTGGATTGTGTACAATTTAGAGAAGCCCGTGTACGATTATTGTCCTTCTGTGAAGGATGGTGGGCGGTGGAGGGGAGGGCAGGGTTGCCTAGATGTCGTCATAAGCATGGCAGGAGAAGAGCAAATCTAAACCGTATCAATAGTTTTAATTCTTTAATATTGTGTATAGGGATGGAGAGAGAATTGGGATTAGGGAACTCCATTTTGCTGATAGTTTCCTCACAATACCAAGTAAAACCTGTGACTCACTGAGTTTTCCATGTTCAGCTTTTCCTAGTTGGCTTCTGGTTTGTGGAGCCTGGTACAACTGTTTTCTCCTTTCTCTGTGACCTGGGTGTCACCATTGACAAAACTGATCCTCTTCTACAGAGGTTTGTGTGGATGTGAGTAGGCTTGGTTTCAGGCATATGTTCATACTGGCAGGGAATGCTAATCTGTTGTCCTCAGCTGTCCCCATAGTTCCATTTTAGGAGGACCAAGTGATTTTGAATACATTTTAAAAAACATGAGTAATGCATTTAAAATTAGAATGTTAAGTTTCTCTGTCATCTACTGAGATCAGCCCAGTGCTGTTAATAAACTTATATAGTGTTTATATATTGTTATATGAAAAACAATATAAGAAAAAGAAGTTATTGCCTATCATAACTTCATACAGAAATTTTTCTATCAAATAATCATTTTTGGTAGAATTTAGTTCAGCATGAACTTTGACTTACCATGAAGACCAGAACTTAATCATCATATAGTAAAAGTGCTTTTGGAGGTGTACTTCATTTCATTAATTTTATTTTTTAAGCAATAAATGTGGCAGTTTGGGATATTTCAGAAGTACCTTTTCAATTATGATACTTGAAAGTTAGAGTTTTATAACAAGTCACTTTTAATTTTAAATTGAATAGTACAATGTGTTGCAGAGGTACTGCTGATGGTGATCGAACACTTTCTAGTTAAGTTTTAAACTTAATAAACATAAAACTAAACTTCCTTTGCTGTTAAAGGCCTACATGTTATTTTAATGAAAGAGTCTGCAGAGTATTTTGCTTTATTTTTTATATTAGAGAGAATGAGAGCAATACAATTTCAGTTAAAATACAAACTGCAATTTTATTTTTCAATTTTAAAATTATGAAACAGGTTATTTCTTTATAGGAAGTTAGAAAGAAATGTGTTCCATATTAGAAGTATTGTCTGTACTACATATGTTTTCTGGTAATAGTAATAACAATGGCTACAATTTATTATGCACTTAAAATTTGTTGGACACTGTGCCAAATGGTATATAATTTCATTTAATTCATACAATAATTCTGTGAAGTACAGATATTTTGAGGTTTTACAAATGCAGAAACTGAGGCTTAGAGAGTTTAATTTATCCAAGATCACATAGCTAGTATGTGGTTGAGTTATATTTTGAACCTAGTCCTTTCCTTTTCTACTCCATTATTTTAATATGACTTGAAATGAGCTGAAAATCTAAAAATAACATGTTCTAAGATTTTAAATTCTGACATCCAAACCTGAGTGTGAGTTGCAGTTAATAGAAAAATCATCCAAATAAAATTGGGGCATTATTACTCATTGAAAATATGTTAGATACACCTAGCTGTTAAGGTCATGTCAGGTCCCATTATGATATCAGAGTGGAAAGAGACTGTCTGTACATGTTCATGAAAGAGTTCTTGGGGATAAGCCACTTGAGATTGAGCCATCTGTCCACTCAAGGGCAAGCACATTGATTTATGCTTCAGAAAGAAATGCTAGTTATTGGGTTCCAATGTAATTTCCATGTGTTGCAAAGAAGAAGAGGTGGGCTAGAACACATCAGTGATCACAGCAGTTAAAACAACAATTTGTATTGAGAAATTAATTCAGGCCAGGCACTGTTGTAAATAGTTTAGGATACATTATGTCATTTAAACCTTTCAACATTCAAGAGGGTACTTAACTATCCCTCCTTTAAGTAACTGAGAGGGTAAATAACTTATTTGCCCAAGGTTTCATGTAAGTAGTGGGCCACAGGAATTGGAGTTAAGATGTTTGAGTGTCAAAGAGGGAAAAAGTGTTTGAAAATAGAAGAGGTATGAAATTAAAGTTATAGAAAAATAGTTGATTTAATTTTGTTATACTTTTATATCTTTTGAAAGGAACTAAAATTACATGTGCATTATAGTAAATCAGCTTCTTCAACAGATACCAGAATCTGATAGGAAAATTGCTGGAACAATGAGGGTTGATGGGTTCTTTGATAATGCCTTAAAGCATGTATATGGCATTTAATGACTGTTACCCTAATGTTGTTTTAGAGGACAAATTGAAAAGCACTATCCTCTGCTTCAGCGATCTTGAAGGCTAAGTCGTTTGTTTCATTAACACCAAAACAATTCTCCAAGCAAATAATTGATGTAAAAGTCATTATTAATTGCAATTTTATGCATATACTTCATATTACACTTATTTTAAAGTGATATACAATAAACAAGTAAAGGAAGTGCTTATAGAATTCTAGTGTCAGTTCTGCCCCTAGTTGGAGTTGCATGATTTTGGCAAATCATTTAGCTTCTCTTCCATGCAGATTTATGCATTCAAATTTAATCAAATGAAAGAATTGGGCTACATGATATACTGTACCAGCACTGTCTCTTGTGTTTATAACTCACTTTCCACTTCAGTATCTCTATTTACCAGCTATTTGAGAATGTCAGAGGTGCTTTCATATATTTTATATATAAGCATTTCAATCTAATATATAAAACAGACTTTATTTCTGATTTTGTGTTATTGGGAATAACTGGTTGCTTTTAAAAATCAAAATTAAAATGCTTTGTCTGGCTCTACTACTTAATATCTTTGCAGTCTTAACAAATTACTTCACTTCCTTAGCCTCAGGTTCCTCATTTATAAAATAGAGCAATAGTAGTATCTAAATGATAAAATTCATGTAGTAAAGCATTTGTTTTAGGGCCTGCTAGAGGGTAAGTTCTTACCAAGTGTTTAACTGATAATTATCATTGTTGTTATTACTTTCAAATATTAAAAATCCTAATTTGTGATTACAAATTTAACTTGGAGGCAGTGTAAGTCTATTATAATCCAAAATATGTAGGTCAGTTGTGTACAAACCTAGACACCATACATTCGTTTCAAAATAGTGAGATGATGTATACTTTGAAAATACCAAGTTAAAGTGGTTCATCTGAATCTCCCCTCCCCAGTTACCTTTCTTGGTTCTTATTTTGAGCATCTTAAAAAGGTTTTAAGATCTATTTAATGTCTTAACTTAGAAATTTATACTTTCATTCATTGAAGTTCCTGGATTTCCTATAACTGCATTTTAGAAATTTGAATACAAGTATTGAAAGATTAATAATATTTAGACTGCAATTTAAATATGGCTTATAACATTCATTATATCTATAAACGTCAAAATATTTTGGGACAGATTATAATTATTTCTGTTGGTAAAACTTACTTTGTAAGTGAAAGTATTTTATAATTAGGCTCTTTGGTACTTCTCTAACCAAAAAAAGTCCAAGACAGGTATGGCTTAATGCTAATGCTAACCTATATAGTGTTGCAGAGAGTACTTACTTGGTACAGGCATTATTATTATTATTATTATTATTATTTTTATCCTCACCCGAGGACATTTTTCCATTTTTTGTTCAGGTAGAGTGGGAGGGAGAGAGAGGGAGAGTGAGAGAGAGAGAAACATCTACGTGAAAGGGACACATTGAGTGGCTGCCACCCGCACGACCCAACCAGGGCCGGGGACAAACTGCAACCGAGGTATGTGCCCTTAGCGGGAACCGAACCCAGATCTCTCTGGACTGCAGGCTGATGCTCTAACCACTGAGCAAAACTGGTCAGGCATTATTTTTTAAAATTACATTTATGGTTTTAAAAAATGTAAGAATCATGGCCTAATTTTTTTTTTATGGAAATGAAGTAGTTTTATATATTGGCAGTATGTAACTATAACCTGGTAAAAAGATATAAGTTTGAAAGTATACTTTCATTTGTTCAGCTTGAAAGAATAAAAATTTATATAATTATTGACTGGTAAGTTGATTTAAGATATAATATTGTTGATACATTTTAAAACATATGGTCATATTATAACACATTTCAGAGTCATAGAAAATCAACTAAACGAAGGGGATGTACAGAAAGCTGATATGAAGGTCAACTAACTTGAGGGGGACTTAGACATAGTTTCAGAAAGATATGTTTATTTGGATGTTGAACAGCAGTGAACAGACCAGAAGTCTGAAGATAGAGTGACTTTTGGCCATGTTTCTTCTGAGCTATTGGACAAATCACTAAACTTTTTCTACTTAATTTTCTTATCTGTAAAATGGTAATAATGAAGGCTATCTTGGAAAAGTGGTAGTATTAACTGTAATTTACAGTGAAGAAAATTAAGGCTCAGAAACATTAAGTGATTTGCTCAAGAACAGGTAGCCTTGAAACCCTTATTTCTTATTCAAAATCCATTTGGTTTTTAAAAAATTTTTATTTGTAAGGTGATATTATTCTAAACATTGTAAAATAAGAGACAGCTGAATGATAGAAAAACTGTGTTTAATCATACAGAATGAAAATAATATAGTGAAATTTTTCTTACAACAACACAGGGGACCTACTTTTAAGAACAGAAAATTGCAAAGTGGTATGAATATATACTTCTAAAATGCTTTGCCATTAAAAAGCCTTTCCAGCTTTATCTTCACTTTTAAATATGTCTTGGCTTGGAAGAAAGGATTTTTTGAAAGACGGACTCTATCCCAAGACTGTTTAAATTAAAATTTCACATAAGTGGAGTCCAAAAATTAATCTTCTATAGTATTGTTAAGCAGTATTACAACATCTAAATTTTATAGTGGGTAGGCTGTGTATTGTAACTTAAATTTTTAAAATACTTGCTTTATTTCTAGCTGTGAATTTCTTTGGACAATTGATGATATTTATCGTTGTGCCCAGTTTCTACAAATAAAAGATGGGTGGATTACTTGCTCGATGGAGGGTAAGTTACTTTTCTTTACAGCCAGTTTTTATCTAATATGAAAGTATCACATAAAGCTATTTGTGAAAATCTCCTTTGTGATGTAGACTTGAGTAGTAGTTTGATATTATTCCAGTCTCAAATTTGTTTTCTTCTCTTATAAATTAGTTTTCTATTTGGACTTTAATGGTTCTACTTGCTATGTAGGTGTCTAATGTCTCTGTTTAACAGAATTATTTCACTCTGACTTATGAATTGTTGTTTATATCTCTATGTATTCATGTACAGTTATCTTTTCTTGTTTTCCTCTCATAGTACCTAAGTTTCAATCTTATTTGAAAGATAGTTGAAATGACTATTTTATATTTATTTTTGTTGAAAGTAATGGTTAGCACTCTGGACTCTGAAATTACTATTTTATACAATATTTATTTTTTTAAATGTGTTTTTACTGATTTTTTGACAGAGAGGAAGGGAGAAGGAGAGAGAGATAGAAACATTCATTGGCTGCCTTTTGCATGCCCCGTACTGGGGATCAAGCCCAAAACCTGGGTATGTGCCCTGACTACAAATTGAACCTGCGAACTCTTACTGCATGGGACTTCGATCAACCAACTGAGCCACACTGGCTGGGCAATACTTACGTTTTTACATACTATATCTTTTTGCTTAAAACTTGTCACAAATACTTATTTAAGTCACACTAAATAAACTTTTAGGAAATGTAGGTTAAACAGAATTAAGAATTCTGTCTGATTTTATCAGTTAAGCCTTCAGAGGAAGTAGTTCAACTTAAGGCTAGAAAATATAGAATACATTGATAAATGCTTTTCTCTAATGTAAGAGGAGATAATGTAGATTAGGACAAATTGTTGGCTTATTTTTGGACTCCTTTTAACCGTAATAGTGGAGTCTAGCAATACTTGGTACACAATTTAGTTTTGAACTATTGCTGCAACTGCTCTGTTTTGGATTGGCATTATATTGACCCTTGCCCCCCCTTTAAAAACCTTTTTACAGTTCTGCCTGAAGATCAAATCTATCTGTTCTTCCTTTGTCTTTCTTGTTAGGTTAGAACATATGAAATTGCCAATTTTCAACAGCTTTGACTTACATAAATAGCAATTTCATATGGTTCAACCTAATGTTAACAACTCTTGTGGGAACTACAATGGGTTGATATTCATTACCCACTTAGATTATTGAGTATATAATTGGTAAACACTTTCTCAAGTGGTGTGTGAGTCATTTTGGCTGGTTTTTATTCTAGGTGGTATTAAAAACACCTTTAACAAATAAGCTCTGCTATAATGAAGTATTCTTAGATGCCCTTTTAAAATCTGATCTTCAGAAAAGTACGTTAGGAATTCAGAATGAAGGTAGACTATTGATTTTTATTTGTTTGTTTTTGTTTTTTAATCCTCACCCAAACACTTTTCCATTGATTTTCAGATAGAGTGGGAAGGAGGGAGACAGAGAAGAGGAGGAGAGTGAGAGAAACATTGGTGTGAGAGAGACACTGATGGGTTGCCTCCCACACGACCCCAATCAGGGCTGGGGATCAAACTGCAACCAAGGTACATCCCCTTGACCAGAATCAAACCTGTGACCCTTTGGTCCTTGGGCTGATGCTCTAACCGCTGAGCCAAACCGACCAGGGCTAGACTGTTGATTTTGACCTCCAGAGTCCTAACTGAACTTTTAGTAATAGCAAATCAGACCAATTTTAGTCTTGAATTTTTAATATATGAGGTTTTTGGAATAATAATACCTTAGAAAACTTTTCTTGGAGGAAAATTTGTTTCTCTTGATAAAAGTATGTTCTGTTGGGATTAAGAATGGTAAAAAGTGAGGTATCAGTTAAAGTACTTCTAAGACTAGAAAGAAGTTAAATAGGAAAATGCTTACTTAGTCTTATATAGTCCTGTTTATAATTATAATTTTTATTTAAATCTAAATCTTATTTATAAATAAACAGGAATGCATATTGATTGACAGCATTTGAAAAATTTTGGATTAAAGTGTTCTTTTATGGATATATAAAATGAGGCATTTATAAATTTGCAGTAACAAGTTTTAATGCTGTCTCTTATTTCTACTTCTATAACAGACAAAACCTTCAACTGTAGAAGTTCTGGAAAATATAGATAAAGTAAGTTCTTTGCCTCTGGGGTGTTTTAATCCATTTTAGGTGTTACATAAATATTATTTTAGTATATATTATTGTGGAGACTAGATCTGGTATGGGAATTTAGAGATGATAGAGAGTAAGCATGAGAACTTTAATGTTATATGATCTTTAAAAAACTCCAAAGTCTCTCACTGACTTAAGACTGTGTCAAGTAATAGAGCCTATTCTAATGAAATTAGATGTACAGCATTATGTAAATAGATGTTATAGATAGGATAAAGTAGATTATAAGAGTCTGTAACAATTTTTATTAGTCTGCAAATTTCACAGCTTTTTATGCTTTCTATGATTATTAAAAATGGCTATTCCTTGGGAATACTGAGAGTGATGAATAGATCGAAAGAATATAGTATAGATCACTGTTTCAATATTTATTAGTTCTTTTTATAGCTAGATATTTTATAGCTCTTATACAGGAGAATTATTACTTGTTTGATTTAACAGATACCATTTATTGATGTTAATTTCATACTTATGATCTTTGCTGCTTTAATAGGTTAAAAATAGTATTTTAACATTGCATTTAGAAAAGTGATTTGTCAGAATAGGCATTTAAAATTTTTTTTCTTTAATTTTAGTTTTTCATATTATGTTCTGTTTTAAAATATTAAAAAGTATTTCATTGAAATTTGAGTTCTTTCTATATACTCTATCATGTGAAAAATGTTTGTTAACATTTATGTCTTTATCAAATTTGAGATTTAATAATATAACATAATTTTCTCCTAACAGGAAATTCAAGCATTGGAAGAATTTAGGGAAAAAAATCAGAGACTACAAAAATTATGGGTTGGAAGATTAATTCTTTACTCCTCAATTCTTTATCTATTTACATGTTTAATTGTATATTTGTGGTATCTTCCCGATGAATTTACAGCAAGACTTACTATGACACTCCCATTTTTTACTTTTCCATTGATGTAAGTAAAATGTTCTTTTTGTTGACCTTTTCTGTTTTTGACCAGATAGTTTTAATATATTTAGTTTTCTTCTATTAGAAAAAAACAATGTCTGATTGGATAGATTTGCTTTTGTTTTTACAGTTTGAAAAATATTTCTTTAAAAAGTAGAATGATATTTTAGGTCTTTATTTTATTTTTAATTAATTAATTAATTAATTTACAGATGTTTCTCCTTTTTCCCCCATTGACACCCTCTTCTCCCTCCCTCTCCGCCCTGTCCCCAGCTTTGTTGTCCATGTCCATTGGTTATGCATACATGCATATAAGTTTTGTAGGTCTTTATTTATAATCCAGTATACCTGAGGAATATGACCCAGTAACATTAGTAATAATGGCTCTATATTGCAATCTTTTGTGATTCTCTAGTGCAGGTCAAGTTCCCCAGGTGTATTAGGCATGGAGAAGCCACTTCAGACTGTGGGTAGTGGCAAGTGAAGGAGGGTTTGTAAAACAAAGACAACTGCCCCAGTGATTCTGAGTATAATCAACTCATCCTACCTGTTTTCCTCTTTTTAGTCACTGCTATAAAGCAATTGGTCCTTATGACAGAAATATTTTATAATATAGTACATTACAGAGGTGTGTTGTGATTGAGAATTTTGAGAGACAATTGAATAAAAAATTTGTCCATTCAATCAAACCTTTGGGTACCAGTTGCATAGACATTGGATTATAATGGTGTATGATACACAAAAATACAAAATTTCTGAGTGTAGATCTTAGACAGCATACATTAAAGTAAGTATTAAGTATGATGACTATTATGCAAGAGAAGTACCAAATGCTACGGGAACATTTAGCAGGGAACCTCACACAATCTGGGGTGGAGCTGGGGGTCAGGGAAGGGTCTTTGTATTCATTTTCTATTGCTGCCACAAATTTAGTGGCTTAAAGCAACACCCATTTATTGTATTAACAGTTGTGAAGGTCAGAACAGGTGGCTTGACTGATTACCTGTGTAGGGTTTTACAGGTCCAAATCAAGGTTATCAGTTGATCTGGAATCTTATCTGGCATCTCTGGGGGGGAGAATCTTTTTACAGATTCATCAGGTTATCGGTCAACTTCTGCTGCATCTCTCTGACTCCCTATTCTGCCCTGGGGCCTAGAAAGCTCAGCTTTTAAGAGTTTAACAGATTATATTAGATGTACCAGGATAATCTCTCTATTTTAAAATCAACTGAGTAATACTTAATTATATCTGCAAAATTTCTTCACAGCAGTACCTAGACTACTATTTGATTGTATAACCAGAGGATGAAAATCGTGGGGAAGGAGAGGAATCTCTTTGTTATTCTGCCTACTATAGGCTCCCTGAGGAAGTGAGGCTTGCATTTGAGACCCAAAGGATGAGTACAGTAAACCCTTGATTTTGAGGATCTTGATTTAATGGACTTCGGATTTAATGGACAAAATTTCCAGTCCGTATGTCATATGTAAAAATAAACATCCTGTTAATTTTAAAATGCTTTTAACCAAGATTTTCTTACAATTAAATTAACAGGTTATTTTTTGTTATTTATTCACTATTATTTTTAACAAATTTTAGCGAATGGGCCATATGTTGGAAAAAACACTGTTGTCATTACACATTCAGAAAACCTATTTTATTATACAATAGACTTTTGACAGACACCCCCCATACCCCGAATTAGTTTGTTATATCAACGTTTTACTGTATATGTATCAAGGGTGGTGTGACGTGGTGGATAGTGTTTCAGGCAGAAGGAACAACATATTTGAAAGCCCAGAGGGAGGATAGAGCATGGCAGGTTTATAGAAATGAAAGAAGGCCAAAGACTGGATTATAGAGAAAAGTCTAGATAGTTAGGCAAGGGGTATTTCTGGGCCTTTTAATTCATGATAAGGATTTTAGGCTTTAAGAGTAGTGGAAAGCCATTGCAGATTTTAAAAGACGACTATGACATGGTCATATTGTTATTGTAAAAATACCACTGAGGCTGTGGTATGGAAAATAAATTAGAGGGGAATAAGAATGGATCTAGAGCAACAAGTTAGAAAGTTACTATAGTTGTGTGGGGAAGAAATGATTGAAGGTGATTTGCACTTGAGTGCTGGTAGCAGGAAAGAGAAACACAATGGGTAGATTGAAAAGATTTAAGAGGTAGAATTGAGGTAATATGGAGAGGCTTAGTTGGATGTGGGGTGAAGGGGAAGAATTGCATCAAGGATAAACTTCAAATTAATGGCTTGGGAAATTTGGTTGATAGTAGTGCCATCTAAATAGGGAACAACCTCAAGAGGAACAGGTTCGGTGACCCACTGAGACTAAAATATCTGTGTTCTATTCAGATAGAGCTGCCAAGTGGGATGGTTAAGTATGAGTATGAAGATAAGGTGAAAATTTAAAAAGGAGATATAAATTTAGGATTTGGCAGACTATAAAGGTTAAAGGCATCAACTATTCATTCAGTAAATATTGGGCACTTGCAATATGTTAGATACTGGGCTAGACCTTGGTGATTGAGAAAGTAGTGACAAGATTTGTGTGCTCATGGAGCTTACATTCTATTGTAGTTGGACAGACAAAAAAAATGAAGAGAAACAAACATGGGTAATTTAGAAAGAGATAAGTGCAGTGAAGAAAATAAACAGGGTGACATGAGAAAGAGGAATAAGCTACTTTTGGTTGATCTTGGAAGGTCTCTTTTGAGGAGGTGGTGTTTGAGTTGAGAACTAAAGTATGAGAAAGAACCAGCATGGAATGAGTTGGAATTTATGGAATATTATTTACAGACACAGTATATAATAGCTCATATATCCATAGAGAGATGTAGGAAAGGATTATCCTCTAATTATTAGTGGTAATTCTCTCTAGGTGGTGGAAAGTCGCATTTTTCCATATGCTTTTGGTATTGTTTGAACTTTCGACATCAGAGTGTTCTTTAAGTTCTAAACACAAAGCCAAAATTCAAGAGTTGAGAGATCTTCTCAAGAAGAGGAAACAAAAAATGCAAAGTCTGTAAAGTAGGAGAGAGCATGACTTATTTGAGGGTCAAAAAGTTAGGTGTATCTGGAATTTGTAATGTAGAGGAAGAGTGATATGAAGCAAGCAAGTTTGTGGAATCAGATAGGATCTAGATCATGGGGAATCATGGAGAGAAGTTTGAATTTTATTTTCAGTGAAATGGGAAGCTTATACAGGTTTTAGTGGAAGAACAGCATGAGATTTAAGTTGAGGATCATATGTGCTGCCTTGTAGAGATTGAAAGGAAGGCAATAGTAGAAATTGGGAGGAGGCTGTTATAGAAGTAATCTAAAGGTGGACAATGGATTGGATTGCCCAGTGAGAGTGAAGATGAGTAGATGAGTTGTAAATGTTTTGGAAGTAAAACTGAGACAATTTGTTGGGAGAAAATAAGAGGTAAGGGAAAAGGAGGAGTCAAGGTGATACGTTTTTTGGTTTGACATGGGGTGGGATAGGACCCTTTTTTTCGGGACTACTATAATAAAATTTTTTGTTTCTCTATTTCTTTAGTCTTTAATGCAGAGCATATTTTCAAATTTGAACTCCTGGAACTCATAAAATTTTAAATTTGTATGTAGATAAAAGAGCCAGAAATTGAGTGCATACATATTACAAAATAAATGTCTCTTCCCATTTTATTTTCCTTTTCTTTTGAAATCTTTTGGAATGCATATTTTAGGTATAGTAGCAGATTTTATAATGCTGAGCTTCTTACTCTTGTTTCCCTTGTATTTTTCATAAAAAGAGGGGAGAAAAGAAATTTAGAAAGGGAATTAGCATTACTACGCTAATTTTAATGGCAACCCACAAATTGTGATCTACTGGATCAGCTATTATGATTCAGAGACTTTTTTTTTTTTTGCAAATAGATCATATACTAATTGTTTTTAAAAGTAGAGAAACTTCAATTCTTTAAAAATGTTTGTTTTTCTTCAGTTTGATCTTTCTACTATTTTGAGTATTTTTATGCTTATGGTTGTCCTCTGATTGTTCTGCATCACCTGCATTTAGCATTTCTTGGCTGGTTAAGCTTCAGAGCCATTTCTCACTTTGTCTGATTCACACCTGTGACCTGGTTTTCAACTGCTGCAGCTTCTGTTTCATTGAGCTTTTCACTCTTGGAAACATAGACCAGTTACCCAACAAAGAATAGAATTGTCCTTCTGATTGATGACAAGCAAGAAAGCATGAAATAAAATACAACGTGAAAGTAGATGTTGTGGTCAATAGAAGGAAGACTTACCAAGGGACAGTTTTCTTTTGTGTGTAATGTGAATATTGCCCAAGCTTATCCCTGGACTTTTTTCCTTTGGAAATAAAAGTTTTGAGGTCTGGACCAGGGTTTACTTAAAGAAATGGAGGCAGAAGGAGCAATAAAATATATTGCTTTACTCATCACTGTCCACATTGATTACAAAGCTTAAAAATCTACCCAATAACTGCAAAATGTGACTGCTGTTTCTACAGTGAAAGTTTTCCAAATGCTTACTGGACAGAGGTCATGGATTCAGGGCTAAGCATATGTTGCATAATCGTAACTAAGTTATCTTTCATGGTAGATTATCAACACATTACATAAGATGCTTTGCAATTTTATTATACCTTATGTTCAGGATGTAATATGGAGGAACTTGTGATTTCAACCTATTGTTTTTCTGCCTTTCATATTAATAATATATATGTCTCTGATCTTTTCAACTCTTATTGAAATTGAAATTATATAAATGCTGAACTCATTTCATAGGGGTCATTAAGGCTATGCTTAGTGAGGGAAGATATGGGTTACAGTTAAATTTTTGTATTTCTGCATTATACTGGCAGATATGCATTATCTTGAGAGTTGGTTCATTTTCTAAGAGGGAACAGGCATTGAGCTTTGTCTCTACCTTAACTGACTCTATTAAGTAATCTTACAGACTTTTACTCCTGGATATTGTATTCTTACAGATTATAACTTTCTAGAAGTTTCA